AACATTCAGCTCATTTTAACAGTTTTGCTTAGTTTCAGCTTCAGCAATTAGTTTCTGAATTCAGCATATGATGCTAATTTCACAGTTCAGCTAAATGTAAAAATTAAACTGTTCAACTAGTCCTACTAAAATAACAGGTGTTTAGACATTTTACCTGTCCAATTCTTTTAGACAGTGTTCACAGATTTGAGTTTTCTGCTATTTAGAATTAGTTTTTTTGATTCTTCACTTACTTTTTGTGCTTTTTTTTTTGCTTCTTTGTGCTTTTTGCTTTCACATCTTTCACTACGTTCAGCTCATTTAACAGTTTAGCTTAGTTTCAGCTTACTTCAGCTATTCAACAACTTCAGCAATCCGTTTCTGAATTCGGCTTATGCTACACATTTCACAGTTCAACTAAAAATTAAACTAGTCCTACTCAAACAACAAGTGTTTAGACCTTTTTGCTGTCCAAATTTTTAAATAATGTTCAGATTTCAGTTTTCTGCTGTTTAGGATTGATTTGTCCGGTCTTCACTATTTGTGCTTTATTTACATTTTGGTGCTTTTTGCTTCTAAATCTTTCAAAACATTCAGCTCATTTTAACAGTTTTGCTTAGTTTCAGCTTCAGCAAATAGTTTCTGAATTCAGCATTTGATGCTAATTTCACAGTTCAGCTAAATGTAAAAATTAAACTGTTGAACTAGTCCTACTACAATAACAGGTGTTTAGACATTTTACCTGTCCAATTCTTTTAGACAGTGTTCACAGATTTGAGTTTTCTGCTATTTAGAATTAGTTTTTTTGATTCTTCACTTACTTTTTGTGCTTTTTTTTGCTTCTTTGTGCTTTTTGCTTTCACATCTTTCACTACGTTCAGCTCATTTAACAGTTTAGCTTAGTTTCAGCTTACTTCAACTATTCAACAACTTCAGCAATCCGTTTCTGAATTCGGCTTATGCTACTCATTTCACAGTTCAACTAAAAATTAAACTGTTAAACTAGTCCTACTCAAACAACAAGTGTTTAGACCTTTTTGCTGTCCAGATTTTTAAATAATGTTCAGATTTCAGTTTTCTGCTGTTAAGGATTGATTTGTCCGGTCTTCACTTTTTGTGCTTTATTTACATTTTGGTGCTTTTTGCTTCTAAATCTTTCAAAACATTCAGCTCATTTTAACAGTTTTGCTTAGTTTCAGCTTCAGCAATTAGTTTCTGAATTCAGCATTTGATGCTAATTTCACAGTTCAGCTAAATGTAAAAATTAAACCGTTGAACTAGTCCTACTAAAATAACAGGTGTTTAGACATTTTACCTGTCCAATTTTTTTAGACAGTGTTCACAGATTTGAGTTTTCTGCTATTTAGAATTAGTTTTCTTGATTCTTCACTTACTTTTTGTGCTTTTTTGCTTCTTTGTGCTTTTTGCTTTCACATATTTCACTACATTCAGCTCATTTAACAGTTTAGCTTAGTTTCAGCTTACTTCAGCTATTCAACAACTTCAGCAATCAGTTACCAAATTTAGCATATACTGCTAATTTCACAGTTCAGCTAAATGTAAAAATTAAACTGTTAAACTAGTCCTACTGAAATAACAGGTGTTTACACATTTTAGCTGTCCAATTTTTTTAAACAGTGTTCACAGATTTGAGTTTTCTGCTATTTAGGATTAGTTTTCTTGATTCTTCACTTACTTTTTGTGCTTTTTTGCTTCTTTGTGCTTTTTGCTTTCACATCTTTCACTACATTCAGCTCATTTAACAGTTTAGCTTAGTTTCAGCTTACTTCAGCTATTCAACAACTTCAGCAATCAGTTAGCAAATTTAGCATATACTGCTAATTTCACAGTTCAGCTAAATGTAAAGATTAAACTGTTAAACTTGTCCAACTGATATAACAGGTGTTTAGACATTTAAGCTGTCCAGATTTTTATACAATGTTCACAGATTAAAGTTTTTTTTTCTTGCTATTTAGCATTATTTTTCTCTATTCTTCACTTACTTTTTGTGCTTTATTTGCTTGTTGGTGCTTTTTGCTTCTACATCTTTCAAGACATTCAGCTCATTTTGACAGTTTTGCTTTGTTTCAGCTTCAGTTAAGCTGTTCAGCAGCTTCAGCTCAGCTGTTCAGCAGCTTCAGCTTACAGTTTCAGCTATCCAGCATTCAAACAGCATTTGTGCAATAAATGCAATTTTTCTAGTTCTTCTTCTTATTCTGCTTCCGTACACTTTTTGAAACGCTTCTTCTCCTTCAAATTTTGAGCTATTTCAACTATTTTATACCAAAACGTTCAGCTCGTTAAGCTCTTTCCGGCTACTACTTTTGGCATTGATATCTTTCAAAATTTTCGAGTTATTAAGCTTTTTCTGCAAAAATTTTCCCATTGAAATGAATGGGATTGGTCAATTTTCAGCAAATTTCTATCACTTTTTTGACCTAAAACTCTACTGGGTTCCTTTTAACTCAGAGACTTCATTCAAAGTTCAACAAACTCACAAGACTTTCCTGTTTAACATATTAAAGGGGCTTTTTGATATCTCTTGCAGTTTTTCTAAAATCGCAGGTAGAAGTTGAGGTACGACTTGAAATTTTCAGAAAAAATCACAAAAGTTATAATGGGGAAAGATAGGAGCAGTGACCCTCCCTTGCTCCATTTCTGGCATTGTAGCAAGAGAACCGTAGGTCCGATTGAAATGAAATACACACTGGCTTACAGCTAACAAAAATACCTTCGTTTTGAGCTATAAGTCATGACTGTACTCCAAACATTGTGGTCGTACGGTTCATTTGTTTGAGAAAATTCAAATTTAAAAAAATGTCTCTCCCCACTCTAAACTGAAGATTCCGCACTCTAACTTTTGAACTTCACATCTTCTGTGAACAACTCTTTACTACCCCCAGACCGTTTAGACTACCAAAACAAATTATAACTCAAAAAGTAGGAATTTTTGTCAGCTTTTCAGAATGGGTTTCATTTTCTCTGTAAGTGTTACCGTTCTTTCCCTACAAGCCTCAGAAGGAGGAGAGAGCCAGAATCTAGCTCATTGAAACCCATGTTAAAGGAAGAGAGATTTTCTCCTCAGTTCGGCTTCACACAGCTAAAAGTTTCTCGTCATAGCTTCTAGACAATTCATGGTAGGCACATACAAATCGGCACAGATGATCATCAAAGTCTTCTGCCACTCACGCTTTTTGAATTTTTCAAATCGGTGCAGTACTTTTCGAATGGTGATGAGAAGTTTGACAGGTCCAATTTCACTTCTGAAGGACAGATTTTAAGGCTTCTCTCATTAACAGGAGTACAGCTGCAGGCCTCCAACAGCCAGGGGGAAAAGGCGGGAAAACAGTGCTGCTCTCTGATTGGTTGAGAGTGTTCAACCATTTTCTGTCCAATCAGGATCCAGCACCCACACAAATGACACATCAAATCGACCAGTTTGGTCTCAGGAATCTTGTATTCAATTTTAAATGCATTATCTGTTACCATGGCAACACAAGGAACTACATATCACTTTAAACAAGGAATGAATATTAAAAAGCTGAATATTGAGCCAATAACAGACTCCTTTTTTAAAATCTTTTTGAACCATCTGTACTTCAAACTAGAAACAAGTTCAATCTGATTGACCGTCAGAAGGTGGGAAAGTGCCCCGCTCCCACCCAGCCCCCTGATTGGTTGAGAGAGGTCAATCGTCTTCTGGCTAAATGGAATTACACACCCACACATGTGAGACATCAAATCGATCGGCTAGGCCTAAGGAATCCATCCATCCATCCATCCATCCATCCATCCAACATCCATCCAACAATCCATCCATCCAATAAACCATCTAACATCCATCCAACAATCCATCTGTTATTTCATTAATCCAACCATTCATCCATCCCATATCAAATCTAAACATATGTTAATCTATCAGTTTCAGATATCAGCAAATATTTCTAAATTCACACTTCAGCCAATTGTAAAAATGTACCCGTTAAACTATTCTCATTCAAATGCCAGCTGTTTAACATTTCAAATTTCGAGTTTTTATAAATGTTCAAAGATTAAAGTTTTCTGCTGTTTAGCATTTTTTTATCCATTCTTCACCTACATTCTGAACTTTATTACACTTGTTGGTGATTTTTGCTTCTAAATCTTTAAATTCATTCAGCTCATTTTGACAGTTTAGCTTAGTTTCAGCTTCACTTCAGCTATGCAGTATGAAGGTCAATCTGTTTCAAAAAGCACAAACCTGTAGATCTGTTGTGTGTATTTGTACTACATGATGGGTGCTTGAAAACAGTGTGTGTGTGTGCGTGCAGTACAGTGTGAGGAGCTGTACACCAACACCCGTAAACCTGTAAAGCTAAATATGCACCTGTAAGAAACACTCACATGCATTTGAAATAAAATACAGTTGTGTGTGACATTTTCAACTACAAGTCTGTAAACACAAGTGTACAGATCTGTTTCTGCACACGCTCAACTTTTTTATTACAGTTGCACAGCTTTCCTCTCACACATCTGATTTTTGAAACTATTTTCACGATTAATATGTGTCAAAATGCACAAGTTTGTAAATTTGTTGTCTGATTCCGTACAACACAATGTGGGCTTGAAGATTGGATGTGAGTGTGTGTACCGTAAAAGGTGAGCTTGAAGTTTTGAGGTGAGTGTCTGTGCATTAAAATGTGAGAAGCTGCACATCAACATGTGTGAAATTGTGAAGATAAATGGTACTTGTAAGAAAAAGTAAATTGTATGTGAAACAAAATAAACTTACATGTAAAATTTTCTTCTGCGACCCAGTAAATACAACTTCTCAAATACGTTTCTGCGCATGCTCAGTTGTTGTTTTACAAGCGCACAACTCTCCTCTCGCGAGTCTGACTTTTGAAACACTTCTGGCAGGTTGTGTGTTGCAAATTGCAGCTGTGTGTATCTGCAGAGGCGAGTGGAGCAGGGGATGAGGGCGAGGGTGGGGGCGGAAGGAGGAGCCACAGAGGAAGGGTTGTCATTGGCCGGCTCTGGTTTCCAGGACAACAGGCTCAACCAATCAGAGTGAGAGCTGCGTTTTTCCCTCGGCTTTCAGTCCGCTGCTGTCTGCAGTTCGCGATGGCTGAACGAGCTGGGGTAAGTACATTTCAAAGGACTTTCTAAACTTATTTTAGTCATTTCCTCGTCTTTTTATTTAAACAAGGTGACACACTAACATAACGTCATGCTATTTATACCATTATTAAGGCCTTATAAGATATTTGTACAAATATGTAGTCTAGCTAAAGTTTATATGAGCTGCTTTGCTAAGTTAGCAGAAACAAAAACGTCACTGCTAACACTGAAGTCTTGCATTAAGGCCACTGTGTTTGGGTATAATCCCAGGGGTGTTTCTCAATGTCAAGGCTTTGAGGACACTGTCCTTCCTTGGTCAAAGAAAACAGTTAAATGGAGCTGACTTGCGTCACGTGACCAGGGCTCCCGTGATGGTCACGTGACGTGCGGCAAAGTTATAATTATACTTATAAGTTGTATAATGAGCATTTTACTTTTTAAATTGCGTATATATTGCTTGAATTACATGTATAAGGGAGTTACTAATTGCTGGCCATCGAAGCTGCAACGATTAGGCAGCACCAACTAACCAACTTCTGATTAAAAAAATAAACGTTTTAGATATCAGCCTGATAGTTGCAATTAGTTTTTTTAATCACCAGTAAAACAATAAAAAGTAATCATTTGAAACCTTTAACTCTTGTTTCCTTTCTCGGGGATCCTATTAATAACAACTGTTACATGTGATATTTAAAATTGCATTTGATTGCTCTTTTAGTAACCCTTCATTTTTGTTTTTCAGGAACTGCTGCTCAACTATCTGCTTGAAAGACTTTACAACCGTTCCTCTAATTGGCTTGATCGAGTTCCTCTAGATCTCGATTTTTTGGAATTTGTATGTTGTCAGGAGCTGGTTATTCTGGGTGCTATCTCAAACCAGTTTGACGTCCCTCAGGACATTTTAAATGCACTTGCCCAAGTTTATCAGAGACCTGCAGTCAAAATAAAAAAGCACAAATTATTGTTGCTCACGAAAGAGGAGCCATTGGTCGTCCCAAACTACTTATTCCTGAGAAATACACAGAACACCTCATTTCTTTAGGTTTACCTGTCACGTGTATTGCACAGCTGCTGGGGATATCTAGAGTTACATTACACAGGCGAGTGAAAGAATGGGGTTTAAATGTGAGCCAAACTTACAGCACCATGACTCACGATGAGCTAGACTCTCTAGTGTCACAGATCCATGCCAGAAACCCAAATGCAGGGTATAGATTGATAATAATAATAATGCATTGAACTTATATAGCGCTTTTCAAGTCACCATTATGAAAGGTCTGCTGAAGTCACAAGGATATAGACTTCAGTGGGAGCGTGTTCGGTCCTCTATGCGCAGATTAGACACTGCAGGCGTGGTTTCCTGAACGTCCCATCTCCGTTGTGTGGTCAGAAGAACGTATTCTGTGCCTAGCCCACAATCATTTTATTGCAGGAGCTTTACATTCCACAGATTGAATGGGAATCCAGTGGACTCATCGACAATGAACACAACTCTGGTGCTCAAGTTCCAGAAGTTGAATGCCCGCTAAGTCCAGGAGAATATTCTGGACTCTGTGCAGCTGTGGATCCACTGAGGTCAATCTTGGGATTGACAGTTATTTAGCCACACGGCATTACATGCAAACCATTGGCTATAATAAAATCTTTCATTTTTTGCATCTTGTCATCAATGACTTGTATAAAATGTCTGTGAAGGATCTTGATAAGTCTCCATTATCTAACTGAACACGTTATTTTAATCTCCATGTTTTATCTTACCACATCTGAACTTGAAAGTACAGATTAAATGACTCATGAGCATTTGAAAATGTTTGCATGTTAATATTCTTCGATGGCAAACTAAAAGAATTAAACCTTCTTAAGTTAAAATTATAGTAATCTTCTTGTGTGTACTAAAAATCTAACTGCCCTTTCTTATTCTCTTGGATATTGAAATTCCCAAATTTGTGAGAATAATGAAAGTTTTGTTGCAATTTGATGTTTTTTTTATTATTTAAAAACCTGCAAGTCTAACGTGTTAATATAGGTTACAATCATTTGTGAATTCAATAAAATGTTTTAAGTTTTTTTTTTAAATTTTATTAATAACATCTTGAACTTAAGCAAGTGACAGGAAAAAAACATTTAGCATTAAGCTACAAAAATATTGTTCTATTGTCATGACCCTGGATGCAGCAATGTTTTGTTTGTTGCATATGTATAAAATGCAATCTTGAAAATGATTTCTCTACTTGTAAAATTACAATAAAACATTTATCATATAACACAGCTGTGCCTTACTTGTAACTCAATATTCCTGAAACTTTCAGCTGTAACTTGATGATTAAATAAAAAAAAGATTTGTTTGGTATAACCTGAACAGCACTGGCAAATAGCATGACGTTAAACTTTAGATCAATCCAAAACCATGAACATTGGTTGCTATGCAACTTTCAAGATGATTGCGAAACATCAAATGTTGTGTAGTGGCAGGGCAGACGTAGAATATGGAAGCAGCTAGATGAGGTTGGATGGTCTGCCTGCATTATTTCCACTTTCATATCCTTCATGGGTTTCTCCCATCCAACCCAAAACTTGACGAGCTGCTTCCTTTGCTCTTCATACACTGAAAAAGAAAAGAAAAATGGCAAAGACAAATGAGATATAAAAGATCTTCTGTGCCATGTTTACACAAGATACTTAGAATGTAGCAAACCCACCTTATCTGCTGTGTCATATAAAACACTTTACTCATTTTAACCCTCCCACTGTCTACATGGGCGACCCCACCAGGAAAGTTGACCACTGAGCAGGGTTGATGGTTTATCCCTTGAGGTCCATGTGGCAGGGGTGAGGTCTTTCCTGGTGGGGTCACCCATGAAGACAGTGGGAGGGTTAAGGCTTCTAAAATAGTTTGATTGTACACATTTTGTGAAAGACAACTGTTTAAAGATAGAAGTGGAATAAACCTATAATGACTTTAAGGTTTATTCTAATGATTTTCAGGTTTTTGTAATGGTTTTAAAGTGTCTTAATGGTCTTGGCCCTTCTAGCCTTTCTGAACTGACTTTACCATACAAACCCTCACGTCCTCTGCACTCCTCTTGCAGCCATCGCCTTGTGATCCCGAATGTCAGGACAAACAACAATGGTCAGGCGTCCTTACAATATAATGGCCCTTGCCTCTGGAGCAGGCTGCCTGAGGACCTCAGGACCAGAGAGAAATGTTAAGAGCAGGCCGAAGAATGAACTTTTTTAGCTTAGCTTTTAACTGCTTATTATTTATGATTAAATTTCTTATATTTTAAGAAAGTTTTGTTATATATTTATGATTTGATATTGTTTTACTATTTCTACAATTATATTGATCACTACTTATTCATACATTACCTCTTTTTATTTCATTCTTTTACTTATTCTAATACTTTACAGCGTTTCCTCAGTGGGAGCCCTCTGCCTCAGGGCCAGTGGTCAGCGGCAGTGGCCTGGGTGCTCTCCAGGTAGTGCTTGGGTGTAGGTGGGGGCCCTTGTCCTCCCTCCTCTGTGAGCCCTGTCTCGGTGCCCTGGCTGCTGCCGTGGATCTACTGGAGTTGGATCAGACGGCTCGCCTGATGGCGTTTCCTGACTCATCTGAGCTCTGCCCAGTGTTTGCATATGTTCTCTAATGTGTTGTGTGTGCATGTGGGTATGTGTGTGTGTGCATATGCGTGTTACTGGGTCGGGGAAGGGGGTTTCAATTGACAATGAATTTTGTGGGATATGTCAGGTCTTTTCAATCTGTGGGTCATTTTTTTTCTTCCTCTGAAGCTATTTGAGTTTCATTTTTTTGTTTGAAAAGCGCTTTATAAATAAAGCTGTAGTTTGAGTGTAACCAGAAAAAAGCCAAATACCTGTCTCAACAAATCTACGCAAGTAGCTTGTGATCTAACATTTCACAGCAAGAGGAGATTCGCTGTCATCCTCCAGCTCTTCTTCATCTGGCCAGGTGATGTGGTCCAGAACCATCTGAATGTGACAAAATAAAATAGCATATGATTAAAAAGTGAAATTAGGAAATGCTCATATTTATTGAGTTTTAAGAAATGAATACCTCAGCATTGCAATCTGCCTTTTCCTGGCATCGGAATACGACAGGTAAGACATCTGACCTGGCCAGATGTCAGTGCATCCCTGTCCTGGTGGACCAAGGGCCACAAAGAATGAACCTGCGGGCTGGACGTGGCCCACAGACTGTCAGCTGAGTACCGCTGGTCTAAACAGTGCCTGAAAATAGGATCCCCGAGAAAGGAAACAAGAGTTAAAGGTTTCAAATGATTACTTTTTATTGTTTTACTGGTGATTAAAAAAACTAATTGCAACTATCAGGCTGATATCTAAAACGTTTATTTTTTTAATCAGAAGTTGGTTAGTTGGTGCTGCCTAATCGTTGCAGCTTCGATGGCCAGCAATTAGTAACTCCCTTATACATGTAATTCAAGCAATATATACGCAATTAAAAAGTAAAATGCTCATTATACAACTTATAAGTATAATTATAACTTTGCCGCACGTCACGTGACCATCACGGGAGCCCTGGTCACGTGACGCAAGTCAGCTCCATTTAACTGTTTTCTTTGACCAAGGAAGGACAGTGTCCTCAAAGCCTTGACATTGAGAAACACCCCTGGGATTATACCCAAACACAGTGGCCTTAATGCAAGACTTCAGTGTTAGCAGTGACGTTTTTGTTTCTGCTAACTTAGCAAAGCAGCTCATATAAACTTTAGCTAGACTACATATTTGTACAAATATCTTATAAGGCCTTAATAATGGTATAAATAGCATGACGTTATGTTAGTGTGTCACCTTGTTTAAATAAAAAGACGAGGAAATGACTAAAATAAGTTTAGAAAGTCCTTTGAAATGTACTTACCCCAGCTCGTTCAGCCATCGCGAACTGCAGACAGCAGCGGACTGAAAGCCGAGGGAAAAACGCAGCTCTCACTCTGATTGGTTGAGCCTGTTGTCCTGGAAACCAGAGCCGGCCAATGACAACCCTTCCTCTGTGGCTCCTCCTTCCGCCCCCACCCTCGCCCTCATCCCCTGCTCCACTCGCCTCTGCAGATACACACAGCTGCAATTTGCAACACACAACCTGCCAGAAGTGTTTCAAAAGTCAGACTCGCGAGAGGAGAGTTGTGCGCTTGTAAAACAACAACTGAGCATGCGCAGAAACGTATTTGAGAAGTTGTATTTACTGGGTCGCAGAAGAAAATTTTACATGTAAGTTTATTTTGTTTCACATACAATTTACTTTTTCTTACAAGTACCATTTATCTTCACAATTTCACACATGTTGATGTGCAGCTTCTCACATTTTAATGCACAGACACTCACCTCAAAACTTCAAGCTCACCTTTTACGGTACACACACTCACATCCAATCTTCAAGCCCACATTGTGTTGTACGGAATCAGACAACAAATTTACAAACTTGTGCATTTTGACACATATTAATCGTGAAAATAGTTTCAAAAATCAGATGTGTGAGAGGAAAGCTGTGCAACTGTAATAAAAAAGTTGAGCGTGTGCAGAAACAGATCTGTACACTTGTGTTTACAGACTTGTAGTTGAAAATGTCACACACAACTGTATTTTATTTCAAATGCATGTGAGTGTTTCTTACAGGTGCATATTTAGCTTTACAGGTTTACGGGTGTTGGTGTACAGCTCCTCACACTGTACTGCACGCACACACACACACTGTTTTCAAGCACCCATCATGTAGTACAAATACACACAACAGATCTACAGGTTTGTGCTTTTTGAAACAGATTGACCTTCATATGCAGCAGCTTCAGCAATCCGTTTCTGAATTTGGCTTATGCTACTCATTTCACAGTTCAACTAAATATAAAAATTAAACTGTTAAACTAGTCCTACTCAAACAACAAGTGTTTAGACGTTTTTGCTGTCCAGATTTTTAAATAATGTTCAGATTTCAGTTTTCTGCTATTTAGGATTGTTTTGTCCGTTCTTCACTTTTTGTGCTTTATTTACATTTTGGTGCTTTTTGCTTCTAAATCTTTCAAAACATTCAGCTCATTTTAACAGTTTTGCTTAGTTTCAGCTTCAGCAATTAGTTTCTGAATTCAGCATATGATGCTAATTGCACAGTTCAGCTAAATGTAAAAATTAAACTGTTAAACTAGTCCTACTGACATAACAGGTGTTTAGACATTTTAGCTGTCCAATTTTTTTAAACAGTGTTCACAGATTTGAGTTTTCTGCTATTTAGGATTAGTTTTCTTGATTCTTCACTTACTTTTTGTACTTTTTTTGCTTCTTTGTGCTTTTTTTTGCTTCTTTGTGCTTTTTGCTTTCACATCTTTCACTACATTCAGCTCATTTGACAGTTTAGCTTAGTTTCAGCTTACTTCAGCTATTCAACAACTTCAGCAATCAGTTACCAAATTTAGCATATACTGCTAATTTCACAGTTCAGCTAAATGAAAAGATTAAACTGTTAAACTTGTCCAACTGAAATAACAGGTGTTTAGACATATAAGCTGTCCAGATTTTTATACAATGTTCACAGATTTAAGTTTTTTTTTGTTGCTATTTAGCATTATTTTTCTCTATTCTTCACTTACTTTTTGTGCTTTATTTGCTTGTTGGTGCTTTTTGCTTCTACATCTTTCAAGACATTCAGCTCGTTTTAACAGTTTTGCTTTGTTTCAGCTTCAGTTAAGCTGTTCAGCAGCTTCAGTTCAGCTGTTCAGCAGCTTCAGCTTACAGTTTCAGCTATCCAGCATTCAAACAGCATTTGTGCAATAAATGCAATTTTTCTAGTTTAGAGTTGAGTTTACAGCGGGAGTCGATGAAGGGAAAGAGAAGTTACAACTCTGCTGAAAAGTGTGGATATATGTTAAGAACTTAGTGACTTTAATTGCAGGAGTATTAATTGCAACAAGGGAAACAAAATCAAAACTGGAAAGGATACAAATCATTGTGAAATCAGCTGTTCATCATCTGGACATTACTGAGTTGTCCTGGGAGGAGGTCAGAAACAAGTAGTTCCCGTCAAGAGGGGTTGTGATACTGAATGGTAGGGATTTCACAATGGAATGCTTGGAGTTTGATTGCTTACGGACAAGCGTTTAAAAGATATATTGATGAATTATTGGCGAAACCAGATATTTGTGTTCAAGAAACTTGGTTGAATAAAAAATTATAATTTAAATTATATCCGTACACAAAAATTAGATGTGATAGGGAAGATGGTATTGGAGGAGGTTGTGCTACTTTTATTCATGTTAATCTGAATTATAGAATAATTAAAATAGGAACTGATGAAGAATATATAGGAATAGAATTGTATGTCAATAAGAAGTTGTGTGTATAGTCAATTATTATAATCCATGCAAAAATTAGATATTAATAAGCTTAAATGAATTATGGAAGGGAATTATGATCTGCTGGTAATGTGTGGGGATTTTAATTCTCATAGTTCTTTGTGGGGAAGAATTAAGGAAGATAAGAATGGGGAAATCATTTAAGAGTTCATGGATGATATGAATTTAGTCTGTATAAATGATGGTAGTGGGACAAGGATAAACGTAACTACAGGTAAAACCTCGGCTATAGATCTAACAATAGTGTCGAATGCATTAGCGGGAAACTGTAATTGGGAAGTTCGGGAACGTAATCTGGGGAGTGATCATTATATAATTTTTACAAAACTTTATAGGAGTAAGGAAGTATATCTGGACAAAAGTGATGGTCGTTGGGTATTTAAAAAAACTGATTGGGATAAATTTAGAAATATGTGTGAAGAAGAGAACTGAAGGGTTAATCTGGAAGAGGATATAGACATAGTGGAACTAATTTTTAGGAGAGTGATAATTGAAGCGGCAGACGTTACTATTCCTAAAAGTAAAGGGACCATGAAAAAGAAGAATGTTCCATGGTGGAATGAACAATGTGAAAAGGCTATTAAGGAGAGAAATAAAAGTATGAAAGTTTTGAGACAGACTCATAATTTTGACAATTTGTTAAAATATAAAAGATTATATGCTGAAGCAAGAAGAGTAGTTAGAGCAAAAACTGGAGAGGGTTTTGTGATAAAATAGGAAGAACTATGTCTAAGTGACGTTTGGGGTATGATAAGGAAAATGAAGGGAGTTTATAGAGAGTTTAGATACCCAGTTCTCAAAGTAGGTGTAGAGGTTGCTATTAGCAATGAAGAGAAAGCTGAAATGTTGGCTAAAACTTTTATAAAAATTAATAGTGATGATAATTGTCGGAAGATACACTCAAAAAAAGGAAATCTCACTGTCATTGGCAATAAAACATATTATCATGTTAGAAGTAATCAAAAACTATATATTTTTTACATTTACTTATGTTATTTGTTTTATTTGAAAGCAAATACTTGCAATGTTGGATGTATTTAACTGTGTAAGTAACACCAACTCAAGTTTGTAATGTAAATATTAAAAAAGGCGCTTTGTAAATCGGTGTAGTTTGTCCCTTGGAAGACTCCGTATATCCTGGCTGATTTTTTTTCATTGCGGCGGAGGGAGCCACGTGTCCTGAGCGGAGGAGAGAGTTACATGCTGTGGATAGAGCCAAATTCACCTTTCAATACGGGTAAGTGAAAGTCTTTCTTACTGATTTACGAAACTATTCTGTGTGAAACTGTTAAATTACTGACAAAAATTGGTTAAATATACCGACGAACTGTTGTTCCATTAAGTACTGTTAGCTTAGATGGTGTGGTTAGCTCCGTTCACTAAGTGAAAGTCTTTCTTACTGATTTATGAAACTATTCCGTGTAAAGCTGTTAAATTACTGACAAGAATTCGGTAAATATATCGGGGAACTATTATTCCACTAGTCCTGTTAGCTTAGTTGGTGTGGTTAGCTCCGTTATCACAGCTACAACCGAACCCCAGCAGTGTGGCGGCCCGCCACGCCTGAAATCCCACTGCCACGCTAACAAGTTCCCAAGTTGTTGGTTTTTTTTTTTTTTTTGGCGCTGTTTCCCGAGGTTGGGTGTTTTCATCTGAACCCTTAAAACCTCCAGCAGGCTACGTTGCACTATTGACTTGTTAGCGCGCGGCGCTAACTATTTAGTGACGTGACATATCTCGGAGAAAGCGTAAAAACACGTTGGACGCTTCTTTTGAAGCGGGAAAATAACACTTCTTACGACGTCGCCTCGGCTCGTTCACGGCCGAGCCGGACTGAGCTGATAGCATTGACCCAGCACAGCCATCGACATTAATATAGCACTGGGGCGTTGGAGCTGCCCCGTGACTGCCTGATGAAAAACCAGCGGGTTTCATCAGACTCGTGAAGTTTTTTGATTTTGCTGGGGACCCCCTGTATTATACTGCTCCCTCCTGCAGTCTTCCCCTATTAAAATTTAAAATGCTTCTGTAAATTTCGTGTATCAATAGAAAAAATCTCTGCCTCTGCCAGCTGCAGTAAATGTACTTTCCAAATAATAAGAGGTGCATTTATCTGTGTATCTCCTTTGATCTGCATTAGTGATATTCTCAGCACCAGAACAGTGAAGCAAAGAAACAGATTCCAGAGTTTGTTAGTAATTTTATTTATTAGGTGCATCTAACCTGTTCTATTTTTCTCTGAAATTAGATCAAATCAGTGCTTCTATGGGTTGGCTCCACTCTGCACTAGAATTTTTTACTTTATTTAGAGACGTGTCATAATTTATTTTGACAATTTAACATCAATAATTTAAAAGCAATTTAATGTTGTTATTTAAAAATACATGTGCCTTTGTTTACAAGCTTTATTTATAATAAAAAAAGTTAAAACTGCAATTACAAAAACTAAGGGTTACTAGAAGTAAAAAACAAATCCGCTAATAAACTTGAGAGTGAAAATAAACTAAGCAAGTATGTGTGTATTTTCTTTGGCCTGTAATCAATTATATTTTTAAACGATTGCCTACTCAATATTAGCATTTTTGAATAGTTTTTAAACAATTCCCATGTTCCCAATTTTTTTATATTTCAAGCTTTGTCAATGCATAAGTAAAGTTAAACAAATCTACTTTATGAATAAACCAGCTGATAATGTGTATTTAAATAAATAAACTACTTGACTGTTAATATTTTTGACTTTTTTTCTGTTCTTTCACAGATATGAATGTGGTCTTGTAAAGATTGTGGTTCAACTGTAGCATCAAGAGTCCATCTTCTAAAGCACTACAGGTTAGCTCATGACAATTTTGGTCGCAGACACCCATATCCATGCACTTTTTCTCATTGTCCATGTGTGTTCAAAACTTGGAATGCTCTTCACAGTCATTTAAGCAGGTCACACACAAATAATACTGTTGAAAAGCAAGATAATTTAGCTACTTTTAACTGTCATTTGTGTACAAGCACCTACATATCCTCTCAAGAGTATTTTAGCCATATTAATTATCATCTCAAGAACCATGAAACAGTGACTTGTGTTTTTCAGGGCTGTTCTTTCCAAACAAATATTTCTGGTACATTCAAATCCCACAAAAGTAGAAAGCACACTCCATATTCACTTCAAGATTTTAAATTAGGTATTGTAAACCACAGTGAAACAGATGATCCTACAGATGATAACACATCTAATATTGGTGAGTGTAGTGTTGATTCTGATAGAGATATAGAAACTCAAGCAGAAGAACATTTATCAAAGATTATAGAACTGAAATTAGGATCTCTTCTACTCAAGCTTGAAAACTATTTTCATGTTCCTCGTACAGCAATAGATGAGCTGCTTGCTGAACTACATTATTTGATAGGTTCTGCATCTGTGCCCATATCTAATGAAGCAATTCAAGAAACATTCAGAAATAACAATGTCTGTGTTGAGCCGATTGTGATTACGGAATTGACCACTGCATTATCTTCGTGTAATCCTCTGTTAAAAGGTATAGCAAAGGATGGGCCACTAGCTACTGGTCATAAACGGAGAAAGTATTACAAAGAAAATTTTGACATTGTTGATCCAGTAGAGTATATACTGCAATCAAAACCAAAACATACCTTCCAGTACATTCCAATTCTGAAAACTTTAGAACAGTTACTCAAACAGAAAGATATACTCAAGAAAATTGTTGATAGTCATTCCAATCAGCGTTCAGTAAATGGGAAGTATAGATGTTATCAAGATGGTTCCCACTTTAAAAATAACAAATTTCTTTCAAGTGAGGAATTAAGACTGTCTTTGTGCCTTTACATAGATGACTTTGAAATTTGTAATCCCTTAGGGACATCACGAAGAAAACACAAACTTTGTGGGGTTTACTGGATTTTAGGGAACTTGCTACCAGTTTGTCAATCATCCCTGGACTCAATTTATCTTGCGTTGCTCTGTAAAAGTGAGGATGTGAAAACATTTGGTTATAAAAAAAATTTTGAGCCCATTCTGAATGATCTTGTTACATTGGAGCAAAAGGGAATTTTCATTGATCATCTGGGAACATTTATCAGAGGTACTGTTCAGTGTGTAGTTGCAGACAACCTTGGAGCCCATGGATTAGCTGGATTCGTGGAGAGTTTCTCTGGAGATTTTTTCTGTCGCTTTTGTACTGCAACACGCAGTGAAATTCAGTCACAAGAGGTGAAAGTGGGTGGCTTCAAACTCAGAACTAAAGAGCTACATCAAGCACATGTAGCAAGTGCTTGTGAAGAAGGAAAACCTTATTGTGGAGTCAAAACTAAATGTGTTCTAGCTGAGAGCCTTTCATTCTTTGAGGTTACAACAGGTTTCCCCCCAGATCTGGCTCATGACCTTTTTGAAGGTATAGTACCCGTTGAACTTGCTGAATGCTTTGGATTGCTTTTAGCCAAGAAGTACTTCACTCTTGATGGTTTGAATGAACTGATTCAAGCTTTCCCATACAAATGGGGAGATAAAACAAATCGGCCTCATTTATTGCCACGTGCTTTCCTCAGCAAAAGAAGTATTGGTGGCAACTCACATGAGAATTGGTGTTTGCTAAGACTAATACCACTGATTGTTGGAAAACTAATTCCAGAAGATGAACCAGCTTGGCAGTTAATATTAGATTTAAAAGATATTGTGGATCTCGTAGTTTGCCCACTACATACCGATGAGTCGATTGCATTCTTGGAGACAAAGATATCAGAGCACAGATCCAGGTACTGCACACTTTTCCCTCAAAAAAAACTGCTACCCAAGCACCACTACCTGGAACATTATCCTGCACTGATCCTTCGCTTTGGTCCACTTGTTTCTTTTTGGACTCTGAGGTTTGAATCCAAGCACAGTTATTTTAAACAAGTTGTGAGGCACACTAACTGTTTTAAAAACATTACATTGTCTTTAGCCACTAAACATCAGCTGATGATTGGCCATAGTATAATTTCATCAAGATTTAAAAAAGACACTCTTGAGGTGACACAAGTCTCAACAGTCCCTCTTGATGTCCTTAAAGAAGAGGTTGCAGTTAGCCTCCATCAGATGTACCCTGACCTTACTTTTGTTAATCTAACAGATAATGTATCTGCTGATGGCATCAGCTTCAGAAGTGGCATGATAATAGTGCATGGATTTGTTGGTGGACTGCCAGACTTTGCCGAAATTGTGCATATGTGTGTTTTGAAAGATGGACTTGTCTTCATAGTGAAGAAAATAAACTCATGGTACAGAGAACACTATAGATCATTTGAGCTGGATCCTTCTTCAAGCAGTGTCTCTGTGATTGAGTTGAGTAAACTTGTGGATCGTTACCCCCTCTGGGATTACAAAGTGGGCAGTTTACGAATGGTTACTCTGAAGAGATACATACATTGTTCAGGTAATATGAGAACAGAAATGTGTACTGTAAATTTGTTTGCTTAACTCCAATATGACTTGATGCATGTTAAAATGTTCTGTCTGTACTATTCTGTGTTTTTCAGAGTAAAACTTGGGTATGACTATGGACTCAATGTCTACACCAGTAAAGCTTCGTATTCTCCTTGGAGAAGATGACTGTGTCAAGCTAACATTGCCTTCTGGAATACCAGACTCTGTTGATGGCCTTAAATTTGAAATTCAACAACAATGTAGAATTCAAGGAGAATTCAGACTGCAGTACATGGACAATGATTTTGGTGAATTTATGAACCTGACTTCAGCTGCAGATATCAAAGACAAGGGAACAGTGAAAGTGATTTTAACAAGTAGGCAGTCAACACAAGGACCCAACTATACTTCATCTGCATCTTTTGATGAGGAGGATGATTCCACTCCAGACACTGATATACTTTCATCCTCTGAGTCGACCACTTCAACTTCAACCACTTCTTCAACTTCATCACTAAGATGTCAAGGCTGGCCATGCAGATTTCCAATTCCTCCATTCTCCTATGAAGTGGAAATGCAGCTGTCTAGAGCAAACCAGGAATTTCTTGCTGAAGGCAAGCACCTGAACCCAAGTTTCAAAGTCAGGTCAGACATTTTGCAGGTCCTGGCTTCTGAAATAATGAAGTACACAAGTGGATACCCAACTTCTGCACAATTAGATGATGTTGCCAAAGCTTTGATCATAAAACATCCTTGTTTGAAGGAACAGGGCTCTGTTCAGGGATATTATGGTTGGAAAATCAGTCTGAAATACAAAATGGGTAACTACCGCACTAAGCTCAGGAGTCTGGGTTGCCAAGAAATGAGCATTAACTCAATGAAAAGCAGAAAGCCTTCTCACTCCTCAAGCCCTAACCAAGTAAAGAAACCCAGGAGAGCAGAAGTAAATTTTTGTCCTGATTACCCAGTTGGAGAAGACAAAGAAAGTCTTGAGAAAACGCGTGAAGAACTGCTTTTGGAGGTCAAAAAGAGGAACAACCATCAAATGGTTAAGCAGAAAATGGAGAAAACCTTTGCACTTCGGCGGTATGAGGTTGTTCAAGATATGCCACTCATCGCAGAATTAAAAAGTCGATGGCCAGCTCTTTTTACGAAAAACGAGGCAAGACTTATATTTGCGGCAAATGAATAAAGTGTAATTGATTCTTGTGTGTAAATCTTATACTTTTTTTTGTCTTTGTTCAAAAACATTCCCAGGTTTGCGCAGAGTTCACGCGCATTACCACCATTCCGCTCATCCCAAAGTTTATGTCGCAGCTGGACCAGTACTCAGACCAGTTGGCAAGAGTGCTTTGCAAGAAAGGTGGAGAAGTTGGACGAAAAATTAAAAACATCATGGCTGCGATTCACCAGGTGTGTGTGCAATTACTTAATAACCGATATTTGAATCAGTAGCTTCTTTTGCGTTTCACACTCATATGCTCTGTCTTGGCAAGTGTAGTTCATTGTAATCTTGTTGATTTTTGGAAACATTTGAGAAACCTGTGTCAGAAATCACTTTCTTAAATTGTCCCATTTTCTAAATGCCACTCTTGTTTATGCAGGAAGGATGGAAGAGTTGTTTTTAGATCAATAGTAGAATTTTGAAAAAATGGATCACTGAGATCTTGATTTACTTTAAAGCTACAGTATTCAAGAGTTAGACTTTGTCGCCAAATCTGAGTGCCGCAGTTCATGAAGAAGAAAAAACATCTGTTCTCAGCCACTCACCCCCTCAGATTTTTCTGTTGGGTAGCCAGTTGTGATGTTGATTTTCGTTTAGTTTGTCTTGTATTTGATCCATTTTTGGGAATGTCTGAAGGTGGATTTGTTAAGTATTGATTTTTTCCTAAGTGCATTTGAACGCCCCATCATGTGTAGCTCAGCTGATCATTTGGAAGAATGTGGTGGTTTCTTACTTTTTAGTGCTGCTTGTTGTGGAATTACAGCTGCTTGTGTTGAAAACTAGGCAGCCTTTCACAATCACGCGATTCGTTATGGAACCAGGAAGTCTAGACATGTAAATAATGATTCTGGTCCGGGACAGCCTTTTTAAAATGACAGAAACTAGCGACCACCCAGTGGACTGAGATCCAGGTCTGTTACAATGTGAATTTATTTTCAACATTGAACATTAGACTGTTGTGTGAGTATTTACTTGTCATGATTACTGTGTGGACTCTAAATCAAGCAACAGACTCCAGACCAGAGACAACGGGATGAGAGTTCAAACAAAAAGGGATACTTTATTAAACTCCAGTGCAGGGGACAAATAACAGTCAAAACATACTGCTCCTGCAGACCCAGCATGAGGGGTTCAGTCTGGGCAGGTGGATGAGAGGTAAAACATAAGTAACGGTGCGTTCACATCTAGAATTTTTTGTGTCTGGCGTCCATGTTAAGTCTATGTGGAGGCACACTGAGGCGCGCAGCGGTGTTACCGCAGTGGGATGAGCAGCTCAGCGGCACAGAAACGCACATCTGCACCCGACGCGCTCCGAAGCAGCGCCGCACACGAGGTCCAGGCGCGCACGGCGCCGTTCGAACGCACCCACCCGCTGTTTCTTGCTGCTCACCTCCTCCGCCAAAGTTCAGTCAGGTTAAACTTTCCGTCTCAATACGCACCGCGGCAACCAATCAGGAGCTAGGTTATGTAGTCATGTGATTCTCTGCTTGGGTCAGAGAAGAGCGTGCTAGTTAATTCATTCACGCACCACCCGGCGCTGTACGACACCAGCTCCTTCTTCTACCGAGATGGGAACAAAAAGGACCAAGCTGGAAACAGGTCAGCGAGGAGGTTGGGCAACCTGGTGAGTTCATTTAAATGTGGAAAATTGTGATTAAATCGACAATCCCGCGCCAACACAAACGAGCCTGCCTAGCTTCCAACCCGCTGATGTTTTGTTTTGATGTTTCCTCTAATTCAGACGTGCCGAATGACGTATTTCCGCGGATGCGGCACGCGATACGGCGCGTGGCGGAGGTGCGGAAGGAGAGCGGCGTTTCAAGCGTACAACATGCATGCACCGCTCCGCTTCACAACCCTCAATGTGAACGCAGCATAAAAGGACACGAATGCTTACGAGTGTGCTGGGCTGCAGGAGTCCTGGAGGAGGGGCAAGCAGACGCCCATCAGCTGAGGCTGGAGGGAGTGAGTGGCAGTAGAGATTGGGCAGCCAGGCTGCGACGCTGCATGTCTGAATTAGCGGAAACATCAAAACAAAACATCAGCGGGTTGGAAACTAGGCGGACTCGTTTGCGTTGGCGCGGGATCGTCGATTTACAATTTTCCACATTATTATGAACTCACCAGGTTGCCCAACCTCCTCGCTGACCTGCTTCCAGCTTGGTCCTTTTTGTTCCTATCTCGGTAGAAGAAGGAGCTGGTGTCGTACAGCTCCGGGTGGTGCGTGAATGAATTAACTAGCACTCTCTTCTCTGACCCAAGCAGAGAATCACATGACTACATAACCTAGCTCCTGATTGGTTGCCGCGGTGCGTATTGAGACGGAAAGTTGAACCTGACTGAACTTTGGAGGAGGAGGTGAGCAGCAAGAAACAGCGGGTGGGTGCGGATGAAAGGCGCCGTGCACGCCTGGACCTCGTGTGCGGCGCTGCTTCGGAGCGAGTCGGATGCAGATGTGCGTTTCTGTGCCGCTGAGCTGCTCATCCCACTGTGGTAACACCGCTGCGTGCCTCCACATAGACTTAACATGGACGCCAGACGCAAAAAATTCTAGATGTGAATGCACCGTGAGGAAGGCAGGCGGATCCTGGGAGCTGGAGGAGCGCAGCAGAGAGGAGACGATGTGAGAACCGTCACCTGGAGGATCCTGGACGGGAGGTGGTGTGCAAACCACGGAAGATGTCCAAGACGAGGAGGGAGAGGACAGCGTGGGAGCTGTCGGGAGCAGAGGCTGAACCAGCGACGGAAAACCGGAGTGTTAAATAATTCGAGTTAAATAATTTTCTGAGTCGCTCCAAAAATAAACTGAAGCCATTTGTCTTGCAAATCTTGATTTTTCAGCAATATATTCATTCTGTAAGTCTAGGTGCCGAAACGGATGAATACTAATGAGCAATATCAATTTGATGTCCCACTAAAACTGAAAGAGAAGTTCTTGTACTATTTTCACAGCCAGTATGAAACAAAGTTGCTGAAGAATTAAATAGGCAAAATGCTGGTTTCTATTTTGATTTTATTCTTCCATCTCATAAAGACAATTTATCCATGGTCACGGAACAAAACCAGTTTTTTTTCTTCCAAAAATTGAATCAAATTGTAATGAAATGGCGGATTTTGATCAGAAAACTGCATATCTGCTTTGTTCCAAAAATGCCTGTTATACAGTGTTTTGTGTTTTGCAGAAGGATTCTGTTGACACAAGAAGAGCTTGCAACCTCCAGGCAGTAGCCCTGTACCTAAACGAGGTCCCTGAAGAGCTAGTGAAGGAATATGACGTAAGTGTTAGTAGTTCTAAAGGTCCTGTATCCTGCTATTTTACAACTTTCTATCTGATATAGGCATATATATGATAAAATGTTCCTGTTTATGTTATATAATAATTTATCCTGAAATATAGCTTATATCTTGGAGTTATTCTTCGATCAGGAAGTAACGCTTGGTTTACTTCCTGGGGGTTAAATAAAGAAATGGCATCACAACATGATTAAAAGCTCCAAAAAAGTTGGTTTTGAACTATACAGACCTTTTAAAGTGAGATTCTCATTTACCATTCTACTGTTAAATGTGCTCTCATCATGACTTACCCATGCAGGTTTATGTTTGTGTGTTTGTATATAAAGTTTAATTTCTTGAATTCAGTTACATTAATTTAAATTTTCTAGGAGTTTATCACAGTGATTATTAAAAATGTTGGAATTTCATGTGAGGTTTTTATTAAATTATTTTTTTCCTGTATTTAGAGTGAAGATTTTGAAGAGACCCAGAGAAAGTTGGATCAGACTCTCATCGGTATCTATGTGATTAAACATCCAGGTTCATCTACTGATCAGGCTCCAGAAGACGTTGGCATCATAGTTGAAGGTGTACAGGTACTTACTGGACTCAATGATGTTGCCACTGCTTTTGCCTTATTGTTTGGCATCATCTACGACCTGAACCTGAGCTACCCCACTGATCTCAGATACACTTTTGAATTAATTCAAAAGATTCTGATGGAACTTGACACACACAGGCTTTCGAACAAAATCCAAGTGCTCAAAAACAAAATGCTGGAATGAATGCATTAAGCCATTACAGTATTGTGCTATTCAAGTCCTGAAATGTTGTAGTTAATGTGTTTTATTGGCCTGATTTAAGTGCCTGTTAAAAGTTTTAAACTTTGTTCTTACACCTAAAATGTATATGTTTAAAGTGGTGTCTAACTACTGAGATAGGACCAGAATGCTGCTTTTGGTTGTTTCCCAGAGTACTCTTAAGATTTTTTTTATTTTTTATTTGCCTTGTTGTGGCTGGACCCAGTGGCTCTAAAAATGTTTTTATTTTTTTTTTCAATTTCTTTCCAATGTTGAAAAGAATTCCATTTGCACTTAATTTAAAATGTTAAGCTTTCAATTTAAATGTCAGTGGTACTACTTGATGCACAAACCTGTTAAAAAGGTAATGTACCGGTACATACATAAAAATTTGTATTTTTGGATAAGAAGCTGTTTCAGCTGTTTCTAGTTAATAAAACTGCTGTTTGGAGTATTCCAATTGTATTCATGTCTTTCATTAACATTAATTAACATGATCAAGTTGGTGTAACTCAGATACAAGTCTTTTAATTAAAGTATATCTATTTAATTCGTTGAACTTAACTATGTCACATTAGTTTTATGTAAGTTTCAATCATAACGCTAAAGTAACCTAATTAACTCTAAGTTACTTAAGTCACCACCATACAATTTACATAATAATTTTAAGTAACTTGAATGTAAGGATGTTTATTAACATCTACTTAACAAAGTTGTGTGGAACCACTTGACAAAACATTTTTAAGTAAATCCAACACTTTTTTTATTTGAGTGAATTGCCGCTCCATTTACAGTTTTTGAACTAGAGCGAGCGATGGGTAGAACTAAAGTGACGTCATCTGGTAAGGATGATATTAATTATGAGATGCTTAAACGTTTAGGGGATAAGATGAAGGGAAGGCTGTTGGAGTTATATAATAAAGTCTGGGAAAAAGGAAAATTACCAAAAAATTGGAAAGAGGCAGTAACAATTCTGATAATTAAACCTGGGAAAGGTCCAAGTATTCAGGAGAACTATAGGCCGATAGCTTTAACATCTCATATGGAAAGAATGATTACGGAAAGGTTAAATTATTATTTCGAACGTAGGAATTTGTTAATGAAATATCAAAATGGGTTTAGGACTGGTAGAGGGACGATGGACGCCATAGTGAGTTTGGAAAATGACATTAGGAAAGCACAGAACAATAAAGAGAGTTTAGTTATTGTTTATTTTGATATTGAGAAAGCATATGACATGGTGTGGAAGGAGGGCTTGCTGATTAAGTTAAAAAGGTTGGGGATAGAAGGACGAACATATGATTGGATTAAGGACTTTTTGTTTAATAGATACATTCAGATAAAAATAGGTGAAAGATTGTCAGAGGGTTATAGGGTTGACAATGGGACGCCACAGGCAAAGTGTGATCAGTCCTGTTCTATTTTCTATTATGATCAATGATGCATTTGAAGAGATGGGATATGATGTTGGGAAAGCATTGTTTGCAGATGATGGAATATTATGGAAAAGGGGAAGGAACATTCATTACTTGCAGAAGAAAATTCAGGAAGCAATAATAAAAGTAGAGAATTGGTCTTTTGAATGGGGATTTAAATTTTCAGTGGACAAAACGAAAAGTATGGTCTTTACAAAGAAAAGAAATGTTAAAATTGAGCTTAAACTATATAGGGAACCTTTGGAGCAAGTTCGTAGTTTTAGATATTTGGGTGTTATATTTGATGAAAGGTGGATTTGGAAGGAGAATATTAATAACATAGTTGAAAGATGTAAAAAGGTAATAAATATTATGTGGTGTTTAAGGGGTAATGATTGGGGGGCTAGTACCAAAGCATTGAAACAGGTATATATAGCAATGATCAGATCGGTTATTGATTTTGGTAGTATTGTCTATAGTTCCACAAGTAAAACATTATTGAAGAAGATTGAAGTTATTCAAAGTCAGGCTTTAAGAATTTGTTGTGGAGCGATGAAAACCACGCAGATAGTGTCCTTACAAGTGGAAATGGGAGAGATACCATTGACTAAGATTCAAGTTGCTGAGGGCTAGTGTACAAGGTAGTGGAGAGGATGAGCATTTGGTTAAGGGAGAGATGAAAGTAGGAGGGCAATATTTCAATGGAAAGTATGAGAGTATGGTTTGGAAGTCATGTAGATTGGTGGAAGCCTTTAAATTAAATGATAAAGTTGTTCTTCAGAAATTTTTATATTCGCCTACTCCGTTTTGGTTATTTCCAAAAGTAATGATAGATTTTCATATTCACAATGTAATTAACATACGGAAAGGTGTGGGAAACTGGGATAATGTTGTGGAATAAAGATTAAATGACGCTCATCAATCATTCATCCCTGTATATACTGACAGGTCGAGAGAGTCAGGAAACATAACGGGATTTTCTTTCTGGATTCCGACATTTAGTATATAACATAAAAGTCGAACATCTAATAATCTGTCAGTATATACAGTGGAAATGTTAGCCATTTCATTTAGTTTACAGTGGATAGAACAAAATGGTGTTGGGAAAAGTATTATTTGCTCAGACTCCATGTCAGTATTGTTATCAATCAAAGAAATGTCAGCTGATAAGAGGTCAGATATGTTGTATGAGATATTCGAGTGCTTGTTTAGGTTGATGAAGACTGATTCAGAGGTTAGATTTATGTGGGTTCCAGCTCACAGTGGAGTAGAGGGTAATGAAATAGCTGATTTTTATGCAAGCAGGCAACAACACTGGATACTGTGATGGAGGTTCCATACAGTGTTGCAGAGGTGAAATCAGTTATTAGACAGCAGATTCTGGATGAATGGCAAGAACAATGGATAAGGGATGTGAAAGGAAGACATTTATACAAATTAAAGGGAAAGGTTGGAAAAATGGAAGTCATTCAAATGAGTTGAGATAGCTCAAAAACGACATCACCCACACTCTTCAAACCTGTTCTAGATTATTCTACAATAATAGCAGACTGCATACAACCTTGTTTGGGATTTGTGAAACCTTTCCCTGATTTGTGAAGCTTCAACAAAGCCTGATTTGTGCAATTTTTCAGCATCTGGCCAACACAGGAACAGATGTAGCTCAAAAACTACAACAGCCACACTATTCAAACCTGAATTTCAACAAGATCTGATGTGGCATTTCAAAATAAAGTGCAATCAAATTTAGCCAAAAATCAGTTTTGACAATTCAATGGTTAATTTCTCGAAAGCTGTCTGAATCTGCAACATCATTTCACCTCAGTCTTAAAGTACACATTGAGTAGATGTGTTTTTATATCTATATATACCTAGTACTCGGATGTGTACTGTAATACTGAAGTGGAATGATGTTGTGGAATCAGACACTTTTTGAGAAAGGAACCATTGAATATAGTGAAACTTTATTTAGAAACACATCAGATCAGGCTGAATGGGAGGGGGGGGGGGGGGGACGTATGAGAATCGCAAAGTACACAAATGTGTTTATTCTTTTAATTTTAAGGTATTTTTTGAAATAAATTAAATCATTAAAAACGACATTTTATCTTGAACACCATTTTACCAAAAAATGTTTTAATTGTTTTCAGTCTTGTAATTAAAAGTGTTTTTTAGAAAATAGATAAAATCTTTAAAACGTAGTTTTGAAAGGCACTCTCGACCGAAGACACCGTAATTTCTCTTGTAGTTCTGCCTGCAAAAATCAAAAGAGGGCTGGCTTGACAGTTGTAAAAAACTGCAGAGGTGTGGACTTGAGTCACATGACTTGAGTCATTATTTTAATGGCTTCTGACTTGACCTGATTAAATCTATAAAGACTTACGACTTGACTTTGACTTGAACGCCAATGACTTGCAACTTCAATTGACTTGCATCTGTTCACTTGATGATGACTTGAGCAATTTGATATTTTAGCACAAAAGTGGCACGACAACATGGACAAAAATCATAAATCATTCTTCAGTCTGGGTTTGATTTACTGCTAACTGCAGCAGCACTTTGTTTATAATCAACTTCAGTTTCTGCTTGTTTGAGCAAATAAATAAAGCTTTAAGAAGCTTTTATTCTGGAGTTTATTTATTATCATTGTCATTAAATTGAAGTTCGACAGATGACTTGATTATGACTTGAAAATTCTAAGTTTAAGACTTGGACTTGGTTGTCTTTGACTTGGACTTGACTTGAGACTTGACTGGAAATACTTGTGACTTGGTCACACCTCTGGCAGTGGGTGACCTTTGACCCGCTGTGCTGATGACTTCTCACCTGTGTCTCTTCTCACAGGGAGATGGAGGTGATGATTTACTGGATCCTGCAGCTCATCACCTTCTACTCATGTCTGTGTGGTCAGTTTCCATCTTCAGTCTCTGACGTCTAAATAACTTGAGATTGTTTCAGTTTTTCGTAGATATTTTTCCTCTAGATGATGTTTAAACTGGAACTGTTCCAGTTCTCAAAATGTTCTCTCGCTCTCTCTGTCCTCCTCCCTCCTCAGCACCATTTTCTGTCCAGGTGACACAGAGCTTCTATCGGGGAGAGGAGAACCACAACATTACTCTGGGGTGGAATTTCACTACCAGACCTCATGTGGCTCACCTGTTTATCCACTGTGAACTGATAACAGATGATAGAATCTCAGTCCTCTACCAGATCAATGATGGAGATGAGTCTCATCAGGATGAACGGTTTACAGGACGAGTCCAGATCGATAAAGACGTCCTCAGAGAAGGACAAATCAGACTTCATGTTTCCAGACTCAGAACAGAAGACTCCGGTCGTTATAAGTGTAAGGTGGAGACAGATTATGGAGCAAACTCAAAAATATGCAGACTCAACGTCACCGGTGAGTAGAACCGGTAGATTTTTCTTCCTTTCTTGATTTCAGCTGAGAACACAAACAGATGGAACTAAAGACGAGTAAAAACAAATTCCTTAATTTTTTTATCTTAAACTTAAGGAAAGAATTCTGTTTAATTTCCTCCTCCGCAGCAGCAACAGCAGCTGATGATCTCCAGACTCGGAGACACACTTTGACTCCAGAACCAGAGAAACCGAGAAGTCCTCGCCGCCGTGATGGATTGGCAGCATTCACAGCAGCAGCAGTAGCTCTGACATTATTTGCAGTTTTTGTGGTTTTAGTTGTACCGACCATATCAGATCAATTCTGTGAACGTAACCGAAACTACTGATGGCGATGCTGTCTA